TCCGTCTCATTAAGTTACGAATATTCGAAAACTGTGCGAAATCAGACCAATGTACCCTTTCAGATTTTTTCGATGTACCCTTTGAGTATTTCGTCGATGTACCCTATGAGAGTTGCTTAAATGTACCCTATCAGACTCCTCTTCAGATGTACCCTATCAGTCAATGTACCCTCTGAGTCAATGTACCCTATAAGAGTGATGTACCCTCAATGTACACCTTTTTGATGTACCCCCGGAGTATGGGCCGGAATGAAGTCTATCAAATTGAGAAGCGGACCGCAAAGAAAAAATCAAAATTTGTGATAATTTTTTTTTGTTTTCAAAACAGTGAGGATTATTTTTATTTTTAGAGAATACGATTCAAACATTGAAAAAAATTCATTTCCGAGAATATTCGTAAAGTGAATTTTCAACGTCTTCTTCTCCCCTTGATCCCTCATTTTCCCCCAGTTGCTCATAGAAACCATTCGGGTTTCTAGGATACCATTTTCCTTCTTTTCTCTCCTTTTTTTAATATTCATCCTTCCTTTTTGGTGCCTGAAAAAGTGTAGGAGGTCCTTTTATGAGATTTCTGAAAGACTTAAGAGACCTGAAAATTTTTAGGAGGCACGTGCAAGACAATTAGAAGGGATAATTGAGTTGTTTGAACGACACCACGTTTTTTGTTCAGACCAAGAAAAGACAGAAAGACAGAAGAACATAAAAGAAACTTCCGCTGAATCGGAATAAAACAATTTCATAGATCAGCAAGAAAAAACTGAAAATTTCCGGATTTTAGAATTTTAGAATTTTAGAATCTCAGAATCTCAAAACCCCAGAATCTCAGAATCACAGAATCTCAGAATCTCAGAACCCCAGAATCTCAGAATCTCAGAATCTCAGAATCTCAAAATCTCAGAATCTCAAAATCTCAGAATCTCAGAATCTCAGAATCTCAGAATCTCAGAATTTCCAAAATCAGATTTTCATAATTTTCCGAATTTTTCTAATTATGATCAATTTTGCAAAAAAAGACAAAAATGTAATAATTGGGAAACAGCTGAAAAATTGCGGAAAAGAAACAAGTTTCTGATACGAATGATGTGGTTTTGATTTTCAGAAGTTTCCAGATTTTTTTTTGAAGATTTGAAGGTTTGATTTTTTGATTTCTGAAACTCTGAGGTTCTGATTTTCCGAGATCCTGGAGTTCTAAAAATTGAAACATGAGATATTGATATTCCAAGATTCTGAGATTCTTGAAAAGCAAGATTCTGAAAATCGTAAATTCTGCCTTTTCGAGATTTTGTTTCTGATTGTGTGATTCTGAAAATTTCTAGATTCTACCTGTAGGATTTTGTTCTCCAAGTTAATGTACATATTTTTTATGATTTCTGAATTTTTGGAAAATCGCGGATCTGAAAAATTCAATGTTCTAATCATCAGTGAACCAAAAATCCGAAAAATAAGCCTATTTTTGAAATTTCAAAAATTCTTAGTGCACTGTACTTGTTTTTCAGTAAGCGCCAAAAATTTCTAGATTCCTAGAAGATAATTTTCTAAATTTTCATTAAAAATCTCAATGGAAAATAGTGGAATTTCTTGATTGCAAAAAAACTTTTTTGTAAACAGAATTCTGGAAATCGTGAGAATTCCAAGAAATTAAAGTAAAAACAACTTCCTGCTAAAATGAAAATTGAAAACTTGAATCAGCCTTCCATCAAAAAATTCTGAATTCCTACAAATAAAAAGGTCCCCCATCTTTAATTCAATTTATCTAGTTTCCTGTGAATGATACCGAAAAGTAATCAACTGATAAAACACTTATCATAATATCACAAATATTTTGTCAGTTGACAACTTTTTGATATTATTCACAGGAACCGAGATAAATGTTATCAAAGTTGGCTTCACTTTTATTAGAGGTTGTATGAATATTTTTCGAGAAAAATCCTTTTTTCGCCACCGGTAGAAAGAAGAAATTTTTTTTTAAAGTTCACTGAATTTTAAAAACCTATAGTTATCACCCTGACTTGCGTATTTTGAGTAATTATGAATTCCTTTGCATTTTTCTATTTTCTTTTTTTTCCATTCAAATTTCTGCTATTCTCCAAAAATGTTCCTTGATCCAAGTACACACACAAACACTCATATTTTTTCCCAAAGATCAATTCATCGTTTTTTGATTTGACGACAACTAATATTTCTCACTAATCCAATCCATCAAAAATTGTTTTACCAACATGAGCAATAAACTTCCTGTTCTTCGATCCACTAAGAAACGGGGGGGGGGGGGGGGGGGAGAGCAAAATTGTTGATTCTTTTGCGTAATCATAAATCATCTACCTACACAAAACATGCATTTTTTCGGCAGACTGCTACACCCTCACCACCCTTATAATTTAATTTTTTTAGAAGACAAAGAAAAAAATCAAAAGGGGGAGGTTCTGAAAGCAAAAAAAAACGAGGAGAATATATATTCCAGCCAATACGAAGTTAAAAAATTTATATTTTCAAAAAAACATTTCAAATTTAGGATTACTTCTGAAATTTGGTACTGCGATTTCTAATCATTAAGAAAAACTTCTTCAGACTTTCTAATTTATTCAAATTAAGATTGGTTTTTTTCCAAAGGTTTCAGTGTCTAGCTTGGCTGGCGCGATTTTGGCCCATTTCCTCGAGTAGAACTCCAAATCTCTCGGTTTCTGTAAGAGTTATCAAAAAGTGATAAACTGATAAAATGTTAATGATATTATGATAAACATTTTATCAGCTGACAAATTTTTGATAGCTTTCATAGAAATCGAGATAATTGAGCTCAAAGTGCATGTGACGTTTTGTGAGAGTGGGGATACGGTAACTTTACTAATTTCTATTTTTCTAGTTAAAGAAAATAAAATCATAGTCTCAGTATTAGTATTTTTATTTAATTTTCCCTTTCTTCAATAATCATATCAAGTTTGAGAGTACGGAAAAACACTTATCCTTGACGAACGTAAATTTATTTTCGCGAAAATCTTCAGGTTTTTGTTCTGTCACATTCTTTTGTTTATTGTCCAAATTTTCAGCTTACAATTAACTGTCCCAGTTTTCTGAAAAAAATTTATTTTTCTAAAAAATGGATAAATACAGTAATTTAGTTTTTTCCTAGATTCGTTCAGTAAAATAATTCTGGGTTAGTCTGTTCCGTTGGTCTGTACTGTTGTGAATTTTTCCGAAAATTTGTGAATTTCTCGATTTTTTTCTGATTCTTGCAATCTCACTGTTTGTTAAAATTCGAATACGGATGAGTAGCTTGAAAAGTTTTAGAAATTTTTTATTTGGAAATCTCAAAGACATTTTTGAAATGTTGTGGAAATTTCTGGAATTCTGAAGTCTAGCACCTTTTGAAACTTTGTGGAAAGTTCGTGGCTTTTCGTTTTAAAAGCCAGAGAATCCGAAATTTAGAGAATTTTAAATTTTTTGGATATTGCCAAACCGGAGAAATGTTGTATTAATATTTATGGGAATTGGGTACTGTAAAACCAGTAATACTAGATTTTCCACACTGCCAACTTTGAGCTACTTTATCTCGGTTCCTATAAAAGATATCCAAAAGTGGTTAACTAACTAAATGTTTGTGATGGCATGATAACTGTTTTGTCAGTTCACCACTTTTTGGTATCTTTCTCAAGAACCGAGATAGATTTGTTCTCACTTGAGTGCTCAGCCGATAGCAATATGATACCTTCAACGATAGGCCCACAAGTTTAAGTCTTTTAGGGGCTCGCACGAACAAAATTTCAGTTTTTCAGGCCTCATCCTTTCTTTAAGATTCGGCGTTCAAAACTCTAAAATTTTCAGTATCTAGGGATTTATAATCTTGAAATCCCAAATTTCTGTATCCTCATCCTTCCAAAATCAATGATCCCCAATATCTCAACAATCAAAAGTTCCGTCCTTCTGATCCGCCCGTGCCACAGGGTACCACTCATCAGTTAGTCATTGTAAATATGTCAACTGACATCTCGAATACATAATTAAATCCCGTCGGAACTTGCAGAAGTCTACTGCTTCTTAATGCTGTCAATACCTCACTCTTAGAGCTCATGAAGCAGTCAGATGTCAGTTTTTTGTAGATGTATAGATTTTGATCTCGGCATCTAGGAGATGGTGTTTATATTTTTGATTTCTTGATTCCAGTTTTTGAGTTAACGTTACTTTTTTACTGATTTCATTTTTTCTTTTCTTTTTTTGGAATCGTCAGTTTTTCAGTTCAAAACAGTCCAGAATTTTCAGATAAATGGAAGTCACAACTATTCTAACCACTGTCTATTCTGATTTAGAAACCACAACAGAAGATATTGTGGAAGCCACCACTATCAATATCACACTTGTCACTGATGACCCGGTTAGTTGAAATCAAAAAGTTACTTCTTGTATTTTTTGGATCATTTTCAAATGATAGCTTGGACCAAAAACTGTACAAACCCAACCAATTTTTCGTTTTCTAGAATTCGTTTCCTAGAATTTCCTGATATCAAAGGTATTAACGAGTTTTGTTTACATGGAATTGTAGAAGTCGCCCACAAAATGATTAAAAAAAAATTTCTACATTTCTAGGGAAAAGGCTCGCTAATTCTAAATGAGACAATCGTTGATTTAAATGTGACAACGACTGAATACATTCCGATTGTGGCTGCAGCTACAGCTTTCGCAAGTCTCATCATCATTGGATTGTTCGCTGTATCCATCTTCATTGTGGTCCTGATCAGAGGACGGAAGAGGTTTCAGGAGGTATCGAAAGTTTTTATTAATTTTCTTCTTTTATATTCATGGTACAACGGTCCTTAACTTTGTCAAAATTCGTAACTAGTAGGTCAAGAGAACGTTTAAAAACTAATATCGTCCGAGAATTGATACCGTATTCTCTCTTTCTCCCTCTGATAGATCGTTGTTTGCACGTTGAGCTCATTCATCTCGTTTCCAAAGCGATATTCAAAATCTGTAAAAGGATAAATTTTTTTCATAATATCCCCAATATTTTATCTTTTGACCGAGTTTTGATATTTCTTATAGTAACCGAGCTAATTGAGCTCAAAGTAAGTTGGGTCACACTGGTTTCAACTGTGTATTCTGAGCCCAGTAATTACAGATTTAGAAGTTTCGGCATAAAGAATATCCTGACTCATTCATATATTGTTGTTTGTTGCAGTTCCCATTCTTCGCCATCGTATATCACCTAACAGCAGCTAATGCAATTCACATTCTGCTTCAGCTTACGACCGTCTTGCCAATGTTGTTTTTTGATGTGAGTTTTGAGTTTATATGTAGGCTGAGTCATTTGGCAGGGGATTATTGGGGTTAGGATCAAAACAAGAGCCTGTCGAGAGCGGTTTCCGAAAATTGAAATTTCACAAAAATTGAGAAACATGAATCTTCATTCATTTCTGGAAGTCTTTGTAGATTTTCCATCCAAATTGTCCTGATTTTTGCATTGAAGCATAGTGTCAAAATTGACGGAAAATCGAGATGTTCAACATTTTCAAATTTGGGCGAAGATGAATTTTTGAGACCATTTCTTAGATAATTGAAAGAATAACCACCAAAACCTAAGACATTGGGAATTTTAGGTCTAGCGAAAAATTCTAGAAATTCTTCAAATCCATTTTTCCAGAGCGATGAAGAATCACCGAATCGATTCTGGTATAAAGTTGGATCATATGGAATTATGATAACCGAACAGGCGGCTTTATATTTCACTCTTCTAATGACAATCAATCGATTCGCCGTTTTCGTTTTTCCAAGTATTTTATCAGTGTTCAGTGCAAAAGGAATTCATATCATATCCACTTTTATTTGGTCTTATATCAATTTCATCGTTTTCTGGAATTATAATTATGGAACTACAAAAACGTTCTCAAGAAAAACGATCTCAATGCAAGAGGTGCTCCTAGGAACCAATATTTTGACAAGGGTAGGCTACAAAGACTACAAAGACTACAACGAACATTTGAATTTCAGTTTTTCACCTTGTCCTCTACTTTTCTCCCGATCATCATGCTTGGAATGTATTTGATAATTTTTGTGTTCATTATAAAAAAACGGCAAATCGCTGATAATCAAAATCAGAAGAAAACAGAAAGAGATACATCACTAGTGGTTCAAGCACTGATAATTACTATTGCATTGGAGGTAGTGGACATCTGGACAAACAGATAGATATTTTTCTTTTTAGATCGTCAATGTCACTGATGTTCTAACTCCGTTGTTCAAAAATGTCACACTTTCTCTTCAATGGATTTGGACAATTTTTTGCTATTGGTAAGGTCTTTTTTTTGGACAAACAGACACACAGACAGATATCGATTTTTCAGTGCGACAATATTCAACCAACTCGTGAATCCATTGTTCTTTCTGATGGTCAATAAGATGGTTAGGAGTACGGCAATGCATATTTTTGATAAAAACATCAACTCATTTTTATCGGATACTAGTTCGACAAATAAATTGCCGGGTAGGTTTTAAAAATCTTATTAATTTAAAAAAATGTATGATTCTATGGGAATTCGGAAAAATAAAATTAGATTTTTTAAAATTAAAAATTGTTGAATTTCTAGAGATTTTGGATTTTCGATCTTCCAAAATTCCGAATTTCTGATTTTCTAAAATTTTGGATTCCCTTATAACTGCATTTTCATTGTTCTGAGTTTTCTGAGAAGCCTTTATTAAAATAAAAACTTTAGCCTAAATTTCTGGGCAACCCATACTGTCGGAAATTATACTTTTAACTTCCAATCAGTTTTCCGTTTTCTTTACTTCAAAATCAAAAATTTTCAGTTACAGAGAGTCGTCGAGTTCCACTTCGAGCCACGAAAAAACTGTGTTACGGATGTTGTGCATGGTTTTTCCGGGACGAACCGAAGGAGAGAACTGTCGTCACTTTTTGAATTTTTTTTTTCTTCAAAATTTGAAGTTTTATTGCTAAATTTTTATGTACAAATAAACTTTTATGCACAAATATTGTTTTAAACTCTACAATGTTGGTTTTTTTGTATTCCTTCCGATTTTCAAAAATTATGAGTTTGAAAGCTCAAACATCTTGAGACTCTGCATTCCCCGATTCTGAGTATTTGAAATTGTCAAAAACATAAATAATCTATTTTATTCCCAAAACTCAAACCATAAGTTTTCTATTATTTTATCAATTCAATTTTCTGTCCATTTCCAACATTCGATCCTTTGTTGTAATACTGATTTGGTGCATTGTATCGATTGGATTCAGAAATTGAAGAAAACGAAGGAGCAGCTGGTCGAAAATAGGCAGAAACATCTGGAATTCTTGTTTGAGAAGGCTTTGGGCGAGACTTTGAATATCCGATCCGACGTCCTCGATATTCACAGCTTTTTCCGAAATATGGACGTTCACAACGACAAGCAAAGTTGTAGAGGGCAGGGTTCCTGAAAAATTATAATTATGAGATTTCAAAGTGTCTGAAATTCTGAAATACAGAAATCCAAGATTCCAGTATTTTGAAAAATAGCATTTCTGAATTTCTGAATTTCTGAATTTCTGAATTTCTGAATTTCTGAATTTCTGAATTTCTGAATTTCTGAATTTCTGAATTTCTGAATTTCTGAATTTCTGAATTTCTGAATTTCTGAATTTCTGAATTTCTGAATTTCTGAATTTCTGAATTTCTGAATTTCTGAATTTCTGAATTTCTGAATTTCTGAATTTCTGAATTTCTGAATTTCTGAATTTCTGAATTTCTGAATTTCTGAATTTCTGAATTTCTGAATTTCTGAATTTCTGAATTTCTGAATTTCCGAATTTCTGAATTTCTGAATTTCTGAATTTCCGAATTTCTAAATTTCCGAATTTCCGAATTTCTGAATTTCCGAATTTCTCAATGTCAGTATCTCAGAATTTCAGAATCTAAGAATAAGAAAATTACAGAATCTCAAAGTCTTTTTCAGAATCTAAAATTTTTCAAAACTTTCTATTTTCACACTTTCCAGTTTAAAGTTGAAGAATTTAGAAATTTCGTAACACATAAAGATTCAGGGATTTTTCGAAATTTCAGAATTTTGAGATTGAGGTTTTGGATTCTCAAATTTTCGATCCTCCAAAAAAACCTCACGTCTTCGGTCTTGGCAAATAGCACTCTCCGCGTCCCTCACATCTCTCCTGTCGACATTTTTCCATATTTCGATCCGTTAATTGAAGATAAGGACCCAATGTGTTATCCAAATAGGTCTGAAGAAGTCCACAACGACTTCTCATTGATTGTGAAGTGCTCCAGATGACCACACTGTTCACATTCATTTTTATGGCAAGATCAATTGTGCTGGCAAGGTTTTGCTGAAAAAATCGTCGAAATTTTTGTAGAAAACTTGAGGAAATTTATGATGAAATTGTTCAAAAATTTCAAAAAATTAAGAAAATTGCTTAAAATCTAAGAAAATGAGGTGAAAGTGATCAATTAATAATCAAAATCTGCCAAAAATTGAAAAAAAAATCACATGGTGCATCGACCAACGACAACTGAAGCTACAACGACTACAAACTACAAAGACTACAAACCTTTGAATAAAACTCATCCGGCGTGTTGTATGGATTGTACTCGATTTTTGTGAAAACATGAATCTCACAACCCGGGCAATAATTCCTTTTTATCCGTTTTGTTTCAGTGATTAGCGCCTGAAAAATCAGTTTTCAGTAGAGCGCACTTGCACATTTTAGATGACGTCGCAAGCGCGCTCTAATAATAAGTCAAGTAGAGTGTTTCCAAAAACACACAAAATGTGCTTTATCGACAATTCTCATTAGAGCGAACTTGCAAAACAAGATATTTGAAATTCCAACTGACCCCGGAATTGATAAAATTGAAATCCGGAGCTTGTTTATGTGTTGGGTAGAGGTAGATTGATGGGAAAAGAGCGGTGCTTTCAGCCCAGAGCCAAATGAGACTGAAAATTGGAATTTTTGAGAAGTACAAACTACAAAGACAACAAACTAAAGACTACAAAGCTCAAAAATATTCAGACATGTTTTTGATCATATAAAAAATTTATTACTCTTTTTTGGTTCCCATCCTTTTAATAAAGTTTATGTCCATTTTAATAATTTCGAATTTCCATAAAAAAGTTTTATTAGCCATTGTCCTTTGAAACGGTTGGACACTTTTGATTTATGGAATTACCCTCTCTCGAATGGCTTTTTGATGCTTTGTCTGACGTTTTATTTTGCCTTTTGACCTTTTGCAGCTAGAAATAGAATTTTTCTAATTGGATTTTCGGAATTTTCAGGAAAAAATCCGGGATTTCGAAAGTTCGGAAAATCGTCAAAATTTCTAAAAAATAAGATAAATTCAGAAAATTTGGGGATTTTTCAAATTAGAATTTCGGGGTTCCAAAATGCTACAGGAATGAAACTTTTAGATTTTAAAAATTCGGAAAACTTTTCAGAAAGTGAAAAAATATCATACTCTCCAAATATTTTTGCAATCAGTTAACTCACTTATCATTGAATTTCTGGAACAACGTTGAGCATTCGTTTTCCTGTTTCTGACCAACATCTCCGTTACACTTTGGGAATAGATAATATCCCCATTTGGCATTCGGTCTCAATCGTTTTCCCAATCGAATCGTTTCGATGAAAAATTTCTGACAAGCTTTCTCGTAATCTTTTTCTGCATACCATTCGATTTGTTTCTCAGACCAATATGGATATTGTTGACGCGTTAGACGAATCGATTCGGTTTTGTAGACCTGACGTTAAAATGATGAAAATTCGCTCTATCGATAACCGGAAATTTGGCGTATCATAATGTGAACAGAGATATTGAATTTGGTCGGTGTGAATTCAGTTTAAAATTCGCGGGCTTTTTTGAGCCGGATCTAGAGACTGGATCGATTTTCCATCGGTTGGGGATTTAAAAAATGGTTTTTGGTGAACTTATGAAAAAGGAGACGGATTCTGCACCATTCAAGCACGATCAATTTGAGAGGAACTCTGATAATTTTTTTTTCAAAAATTCAGAATACCTGAAAAACACCCCAACTCAGCTCCCACGTCGGTCGAAATTCCTCGATATCCAGAACGGCGATTCCAGAAAAATTCTCATCTGGAATTGTGGTCTTGATGTCTATTTCAGCCTGTTCCAGATGAGCTTGAAGATCTCCGAGCTGGAAAAAGAATGAAAGAGTTTTAGGATTCTAGGATTTTGAGATTCTCAGATTCTGAGATTCTGAGTTTCTAAGATCCTTTTCTATTATATTTTTTTTTCAAAAAAAGTTTTGAAAATATACAAAAGCTCCTACTTCCTCGTGACTGAAATGTGACTACGTCACCAAAGAGTTAGAATTCAGAATTTCAACAAACGTACCTGCGGAAGTCCTCCATTCTGTGGATCGCTGACATTCTGGGCCTTGAAATAGGGAACTTTTCCAAAACTATGCTCATAGAAGATTGCGAATTCCTGACCGCCGACAAATTCTTGATCTACAAAAAAATTTGAGATTACTGTAGCTACAGTAATCCTTACCTTCATTCTGTAGGATTCCAAACTTTTGAACATCAATGGAATCGTTATCAACGCATGGCCAGGATGGGACCATCCAGACGACGTCAGTACGGTTTGGTTGAGATGCAGAGGTTCCGACGTATTGGCTGAAATACATGAATTTCAAAATCTCAGAATCTCAAAATCTCAGAATCTCAAAATCTCAGAATTTCAGAATCTCAGAATCTCAGAATCTTAAATTCGTAAAATCTTCAAAACATCAAAACATCAAAAACTCACGCTCCATTCGAATTTTCAATCAAAAATATCAGCTTCAAAAGTATAGGAATACATATTTTCAGTTTTACAGTTTTCATCCTTTCGGCTCACTTTTCGGATAGTACCGGATCTGAAAAATGGGAATTTTTTGATTGAAGAAAATCTTTGAAACCTTTTTTTGAAGTTCTGAAATTCAAAAAAATGAAAAAAAGAAGAGGACACCCAAGAATCTTCCGGAAAACTGCCCTCTTTTCTCAGAATCTGTCATCTGGGAAAAATGAAAAAAAAACTGATCAAGAAGATTGAGAAAACTAAAGAAAACTAATATTTTATCGTCTTTTCGTATATTCGAAGATTCGTTTTTTTATGATTTTTTGGTATAGATTGAGCATATATACCAAAAAATATAAAAAAGAGCCTTTTATATACCAAAAAAGTGGATGGAGAAAATGTTTTTAGAGAGATTTTATGATGTTTTCAAACACCAAAATCTATCTTTTCTGGTCGACTTTTTTCAGGGTATCTGGAAAAAAAAGTTAGCAAAAGGGAGCAAAAGGGGAGATTAAAAATTCAAAAATCTAGTTAAAAAATCTAGCTATTAGTAAAATTAAGTCATCATTTGGAAAAATTCCAAAAAGTGAAAAAATTCAAAAAAATTCAAAATTTAAATTTAAAAACTTACAATTTTCAATTCTTAGATTAAAAAAGAATTTCACAAATCTTGAAATTTGTAAAAAAAAATTTTCTCAAATTTCAATCTGAAAAACATCAGCGGCTGAGAATTGACAGCTGTTTTACTTTTTTCTAATTTTTAGTGAAATTTTAAAAATTGAATTCAATAAACATTTAAGAAAATGTTTGAGTTAATTTGTAAAAAGCGTCAGTTGAAAAGCAATTTCAACTTTGTTTTGAGAGCTGAATTTTTCAAATTTTTAGAAAAAAAAAGCAATAATTCAAAATTTAGAAAAAACGACTCACTTCTTTTCTTTCTCACTTTTTGTGAACCAGTAGAAACCGTCAAAACGAAATGAAACAGTGGCAGAAAAAAAAGGGTTCACCCCATTTCAGTTGATTGCCATAGTCCACCACTGTTGTACTGATGTACTAGTCTCCCTGTCTGTCTCTCTGGAAAAAAAGAAGGCGTGGACAACGGGCGACGCGGCACGGTCTGGAATCAAAAGGGACGAGATTGGGTGTGGTGGTGATGGAGACGACTGACGACTTTATAGTTGTTTTTTATGAAAAGTTGATGAATTGCAGAGTGAGCCTGAAAATTTAATGGTTATGCAGGAAATTATCGTGAAAATCAAGAAGAAAGAAGACCCCCATCACTTTGACACAATTTGTCTTGTTTCCTGAAAAGATACCGACAAGAAGTCAACTGACAAAATGTTTATTATAATTTCAAAAACATTTTGCTAGCTGAACAGTTTTTGATACCTCTCACAGAAATCGAGCTAATTAAGGTTTATGAGTGCAAGTGAAAGAGTGGCGTTATGAGAATCAATTTATCTGGTTCTCTATGAGAGGTATCAAAAAGTAGTCAACTGATAAAATGTTCATCATTATTTGAAAAATATTTTATCAGTTAAACACTTTTCGATATCTTTCATCGGAACTGAGATAGATTTGATCAAAGGTGGGTGGCGCTCCTAAGATAGGGTTTACGTTAGATACACATTTTCTGGAAAAACGATAAAGGAGGAATCGGAAAAATTATAAAAGAAAGCGTAAATTCTAGATTCGCTTGAATAAATTAGAGTCTCAGAATTTTAAAATTATAGAAAGTATCGAATCTTCATGATTCTGGGAACGCATAGTTTCAGAATTTGAATTTTTTCATTTTCATATTTTTGGGGAATCATCAGCAAGATATGATTTTAATATAAGACTGAAACTTTGAATCATTTATAGAAACTTGTTACCAAAATCTCAAAGTTTATAAGAGCTTCATCAATTGTGAACTTTTCCAAATGTTGAACATTTCAGGAATCTAAAACATTATAAGTATTTAAAAAAGTTTTTTATTGGCATTTTGTAAATTCGAATTCTAAAATCTTAGTTTTCTGAATTTCACAACCTTAAAGTCACAAAGCTCAATAAACAGCTCGAGACAAATTGATAAAATTCAGTAAGTCTTACAAACCGATCGTTCTATGTGCTCTACGTGAAAAGTGGGTGTGGCTTCGAAAGCAGCAACTTTTTTTTCATAATTTCAAAGAACCCAATTTTCCTTCCGGAGAAGGCTCTTGAAAAATCGGATGAAAAGAAGAAACTGAATAGGAACAATATACAAACACAAAGGGTATTCTCCGATAAAAAAGCAATATGCAAACAGCAAAAAAATATATGACGACATAAAAATGATACGCTGCTCTTTCTGAAGGAGAGAAGTGAATAAATGCACCGAAGTAAAAAAAAAACAAATGAATGAATGATAGGAATCGGAGTCATAAAACATGAAAAGGAAAAAAGAGCAGAGATTAGGGTACAAAAGGAAAATGAGCAAGTTGAACTTGGATTTCTGTCTTATTTTCAAACTAACTTTTCAAAATTTATGATTTTTGAAGGTGTCGAAAACTTGAATTTCTAAAATTTGTGTTCTTAAACTCTCTGAATTCCAGAATCAGAAGTTTCAAACCATAGTATTTGAAAAAGAAATTTGAAAAAAAAAAGGATTTTATGACAAATAGGATATTCAAACAAACATCCGGAATTCTTCAAACTTAAGAGTAAGGATGATTCGAATTAAGAAGTGGAAAAAAATCTAAAGATCAAAGTGTGTCATGATTTGAGAATCCCGGAATTCAAGAGTTTTTCTCAGTTAAAAAATTTGAGAAAAACGTTTTTCTGGAAATATTATATTTCTTAGTGGCCGATTTTTTTTGGAAAAGTTTTCAAAGGAAAACAATTATATAACTTCTGAATTTACAAAAAAAAACTGAAACCCGGTTTTATCAGACCAAAAATTCAGAAAATCAGCAAAATCGGAAAAAAATTAGTTGAAAAATTGAACAAAACAAAAGTTTTTTATAATCTGAAAATTCTAGAAAAAGAAAAAAATCTGGATTCTGTATTTCCGAATCTAGAAATTAGAAAACAGAAAAAAACCGTCTTAGAATTTCAGAATTTCAAAACCTGAAAATCGGAAACTCTCAGAGTATCAGAATCCTAAAACCTCAGAATCTCAAAATTTCAGTATCTCAAAATTTCAGAATCTCTGAATCTCTGAATCTCTGAATTTTAGAATCTCAGAATCTCAGAATCTCAGAATTTCAGAATCTCAGAATCTCAGAATCTCAGAATCTCAAAACTTCAAAACTTGAAAATTGGACAATCGTAAAATAGAAAAATCTCAGAATCTCAGAATTTAAAAATCTTGGAATCCTAGAATCTCAGAATCTCAGAATCTTAGAATCTTAGAAACTTAAATTTCAAAATTCAAAGTCTTATAACTGGTCAGAGAAAGAAAATTTTCTCAATTTCTCAAAAACTTGGAGGAACACATGATCTTGGATATTTTGTATCGAATGTCCATGTGTTTTCCATGGACATTTGATCTAAAAAACTGCCCATCTCTCATTGTCCATTTTTTTCTGTGAAAAAAGAGCACACAAACACATGTTTCAATTTTCCAGCTTTCAAAGAGCAAGAGAGCAGTATTTATGTGCCAAAAAATGTTCAGACGGGTTACGTCTGAACATACAAACAATACATAAAAACTGTTTTATTTGGTGTGTGTCAAGGAAAATAAAAGAAACAATTCAGGATGAAAAACAAGGAAAAAGCAAATAAATACAGGTGAATAGTGCTGGGAAATGATGTCATGAAGTTTGGAAAAATAAAAGTTTTGAAACTGATTTATGAAATTGATCAGACTTTGTGTTTGTGGTGCACTTTTTAGCGAACAGGGAAGCAGAAAATCGGTGAAAATGTGTGTTTTGAGGGCTTGGGAAGGTTTTGCAGACTGAAAACGTAGGAGATCAGTTTTTGTAGTTTTCTTGAAGACCTAAAATTTGGAATATCCTATTTTTGAAATTTCAGAATACAGTACTTAGAAATTCCTGTGAATTTGGAGACCCTGAAATTCTGAAATGCATTTAAAAAACTGGAAGTCAGGATTTTTAAAAGGCTGTTTAGAATTTTCAAACCTTGAATTTTATAGTTTTGGTATTTCAAGATTGCTAATTCTTGGGAATAGGAACTTCAGATTTAGGATCATGTTTATGGAATCTTAGAAACTTTAAATCTTAGAATTTCGCGATTTATCAATTTCTCAATTTCACAATTTCACAATTTTAATCCCAAAATCTTAAAATTTCTGAATTTCAAGATTTAAGGTCTCAGAATTTCGGAATTTCATGGTTTCAGAATCTCATGATTTCGGAATCTCAGGATTTCAGAATTTCAGAGCTCCCAATTTCCTAGCAACAGAAAACTTATGTATTCAAAAAATGACCGTTTTCAAGATTTTGAAATTAGGAAAACTGTGAAAACTTTTGAGTTCCCAAAAATTTCAATGGAAAGACTATTTGCACAAATTTCAAGATAACATGACTAAAAAATCTAGTTCTTTTTCTACCCCAACTTTTTTCTAGTAAAAAGCAAATTTTCTATATATAAGTTTCCTAAAGTGTAGAATGCAGTTGCGCTTTAATGAGAAAGTATGCAGTTGCGCTTTAATGAGACAGTGTGTAGTTTCAATTTAACAAAAAAGTGGGTGGTGGGTGTTTCCGAGATAAGAGGATAAATGATCAGATAAAGAACAGATAGAGAGGAATAAAACAAATAGATCTCCCTCTGTTTTGTTTGTATACTGTACAGTTGAAAAAGTTAAAATAGAGAGAAAGTGCTCATTGAGCATTAATTAGCAAGGGGAAACACGGGAGAATGAGTATGAATATACGGACGGAAAACAGCTTCGCGGCTAGAAATGAAACAAGTTAACCATAAATTGAAATCTAGTGGATTTGCAAACAAAAAGTTAATCAGAAAGGTGTCAAATCATGGGTTTTCTGATAGTGAAAAATATGGGGAGCTCCTCTTTTGCAATTTTGAAGGTGGTAAATTATTCTTATTTCAACAACAAGTTTATAACCTTTAGAATTCATTCAATCAGTTTCAGTTGAATTAGGTATATCTTCCAAAAGATTCAAAAACACAGTACTCGGATGAACAATCTAATGACACAACCAGGTGGGACAGTCTACAGCAATTATTTGGTTCCTGTACTCCTTCACCTCATCTATTTATTGTCAAAATCTGGACCTCTACACATCACTCATATGCATTCATATTCTGCCTTCTAATTTTGTCCTCCCCTAGTTCTTTATTGTTTGCTTCTTTTACCATAAATCCTGTAATAGAAGAGCCTCTTAATTTCTAACTTTGATCCTATTTTTCTCGATTCCTGTCAGAAATATGAAAATGTTGTCAACTGACAACTTTTAGATTATCATAAGTGTTTTGTTAGTTGACACGTTTTTGATTAGTTGCATTGGAATTGAGATAATTGAACTCGAACTTGGCAGTGTGTGGGCTCTATCACCGGTTTTGGAGTATACTTTGTTTCGATTCATTTTTTCTTAAAGATGGCTAAACAAAAAATTTTTCCAGATTTTTTTGCCTAGAGAGACCCTATGAAGAGTTGAACTCGTGAGGGACAGATCAGGGTACAGCGTTGCTACCGGCTGGGCTACGCTTACGCGAACGTAACTGAAGACTGTCCGCCAAACTTTTTGCTGCCTCATTTCCTTTAAACTTAATGATTTTACAGATCTCTTAAAATTATATTTCCCCTCTGATTTCTTTTTTTCGCGATTGATATTTCCCAAAAGCAGACATAAACCAGTTGAAAACAGTACAAGACCATTTCAAGATAATCTATTCCTATGGGAATCTTGGTGACACGGTCATTACTAGACCCACCTGGTAGCTCCCACCTGGTTACATCGTCTGTCTCTCGCCATGTCATCTTCTCGACTCCTCATTCTTTTTCATAATCTAGTCTCCATACTCCTCACGTATCGTCTTTCTCGCTACCAACTTTCTCTAAATTTCAGAAACAACATGCCTTTTCCCACTCTGTCCCAATTGGCAGCTAAATCAGTTGCTCAAGGAATTCATGATGGTAATTACCCTAATTAACTAGTGTCATATCAAGTTAGTTTTAATTTCAGAGTCTATCTCGCTTGTTTCCACTTTGGACACAAAATCCAGCAACGCAATTGTTCGAGAATTTTTGAAACTTAATGAGTTTAACGTCGAAAAGCTGGAAGTATTCAAAAATCAGTTATCCGTCACAGAAATTGATTTTCGACGTTGGGAGATCGACGCAAGAGCAGTTAGAAATTTGTCGAATTTCAATTTGGTGTCTTTAGATTTTGGAGAGTTGACTCAATTGAGGGACAATTTTCCCGGTGATCCTTGGGATGTCGGAACACTTGATATTGTGTCCTTATTAATTCAATCGACGAATAATTATTCGAGAAACGCAATGATTCATTTGGGTTTGTCTGCAGAACAGGAATTTATTACAGGATGGGAGACAGAGGTAAGAAGCTTTTGTGAGGAATCAGTTCATTCTGAACTTTTTTTAGGTTTCCGAATTTTTTCCAAACCTCCAAAGCATAGATATCAGCTGCAAAAAATTTGACGAGCGATTCCAATTCTCAAATTTTTGCGCTTTCTTCCCGAACCTTCTTGTTCTGGACATCTCCGATCCACTGGGTCTATTATGTCTTCAGGGAATCAAAAATCTCAAAAATCTACAAAAACTCACAATGCACTTTGTGGAATTCGATGATATCAATGGATATAAAGAGTTATCTGAGTTAAAGAATCTCAAATATTTGGATGTGGCGAGTACCAGCTTCAACTGGGACGAGAAGACACATCCAATCAGAGGCATGTTGGCAGCTGGAGTTCGTATGGAAGCTTTGGAATTTTTGGATTGCTCAGGGATATCTGTCACTGAACAAGAGTTGGAAACATTTGCGAAAAATCATTCATCATTGAAAACTATTGCCGCGATGTGTAAGTTTTTTGTTTATTGGATTAGGAATTAGGAAAGTATATCCGATTTTTTCGACTTTTTTTTGGAAAAACTTTCGTTATTTTTTGTAACTGGCAATCAAAGATTGGAGCACAGCTAAATACAACAAAAATATTGCCAATGCGTCTTTAACGTCTCCAATTATTTAAAGAAAAAGGATACATCGAGGGTAGATCGTGTTCTAGGGTCACATTGGGACCTTGAGGCGTAGGGCGTTTTAGCTTAAACCTATATATTTGATCGAAAAGCGTGCATACTCAGGAAACTTTGGGCAAGCAAACGGCAAGTTGCGAGCCATTTGGCAAGTTACTGAGCACAATCAGCAAGTTGCTGGATGAATTAGCAAGTTGCTACTGCTTGCTGACCTTGTTCCAAGAGGGTGGTACAACAGCAAGTTGCCGCATGCATGAAACAGTTTTAGCAAGTTGCTATTTGCTTGCCGTGAAAAGAGCAAGTTGCCGATCTCTTGCTGCGTTCAGATGACATTCAAATGTTCTCGAATTATTGATTTTCTTTTTGTCCTATTTTGTCCTATTTTTTGCTTGATTTTATTGTATTTCAAACTAACTTCACAACGAAATGGAAGGAAAGCTTGAAGGTAATATTAAAAATTTATATTGCTAGAAAATTAATATCTTTTAAGGTTTGGACACCTCGGACTAAGACCACCGAGGGGCAAGAAATTGGGGAAAAGTCGAATTATAGGACAAAAACAAGATATATTTTGGATATAACTCTATAGTGTATCATGTGGAACCAGGTATGACTTGAAGCGTTTCATTGCAGAAAAATATGTCAAGGAAAAGATAATCTAAACCGGAAGAAAATCCAAAATCCAAAGCTCGTCAGAAAAATTTATAATTTTTCTACGATATAGTCATCGAAGTTCGAAATTATCATTATGATACGATTCACAAAGAACGAGTGGTTTTATCAAGTTAAATATCGAAGAACAACTGGAAAAGCGAACGATTGAAGTATCGACACAGTGAGTTGCTACCTTCAAAAACAATCTTCAGAGCTTTTTTTTCAGTTATCACACTATTTCTCACAACCTATGCGACAAGCCTGATATGTTCGTGATGCGAAACGTTGAATATAATTGAACGTCGAAATTTTTCTTGAATGTCGAAGTTGATAAAAATTTAAGATAGACATTTAGAAGAACTCAAAACGCGAAGTGATGCCTACGTATTTGCAAGAAACTTTCTCAAATTCATGGAAAATTTTTCGGATTTAATTTGAATATTGTTGTCCCAATTTCCCTTACTTTGTACCCTCCACCTATACATAGTTGACTTCCTTTTTTCCTACTATTGTTTTCACACTCTGTTTCCTCAATAAATATGTCCTAAATAAATATGTCCACTTCGAAATTATGAGAAAAAAACGCTCTTAATTCGGCAAGTTGCCATCTAGATTTCATGAAGAACGACAACTTGCTTTATAAAACAGCAAGTTGCTGACCCGAAAAAACGGCTTACCGTTTGTCAGCGGCAAGCATTTTTTTCGGCTTAGCAACTTGCTAAAATTGGGCAGCAACTTGCCGAAAAATTCCCTGAGTAATAGTGTGTGAAAAATGTGTTTTTTATTCGGTCTCCCGCATATTCCACGAAATACCATGTACCCTTGGAAACAATGCATCCTTAGAACTAGATGTATCCTTCGATACTGGGCAACTCTACTGAAGTTTCAAAATATGAGTAAAAAGAAACTTCTCAAAAAAAAGTAATTTCGCAAGAAATATGTTTCTTTAATCAAGATGTTTTGAATAAACCATTTATTTTCAGGCACCGCTTGCAACCATACTACAATTTCCGGACTCAAAATGCTCAATATGTCTTCAATGAGTTCATTCTCAGAAAGTCTGGAATATGCTCTTTTGACCGAACGGGATGAGCTCGCGCTCCAATTTATCAGAGAGATTCTTGAAAATCTAAAAACTAGTCGTGGACATTTGGTCAACGCTGAGCTTCGTCACATCACAAGTGCAGTACTATTTGTGTTACGGGAGTCATTTGATCAGAACACCAAGTTTTGGACACTGAATTGTTATTTAGAATCTCGGCTTTTTGAGTGAGTTGTACTGGATTATTAAACGACCTTCTAATAATTTTTTTGCAGACATGAACTCTCAGTTTCACTGTTCTCTGCCGACATTCCTGACATGATTGAACTATTCTACAACGTCTTCAATGAGAATTCCTCAACTTCACGTAAAAAAGAAACTGCTGGACACATATTCCGAATGTTTGAAGCTACCGTAAACGCTGTGCGTCCAGGAATATTGATTCCCGAGAGAGTTTTGAGTTTTGTATTCGACAAGACTATTGATTTGGTTCGTCAGTTTCCGGAGCATCAAACTCAGGGGTCTCGAATTATCCGTCGAGCTGTAGAATGGATGAGTTGGGAGCAAATTCTAACAATGTGCGGAAATTTCGAGTTTTTCTCAAAAGTAAAAGTGTTTATGAATTCCACCTGATTTTTTTTTGCTTTGTTTTGTTTTGTTACACTCTGTTATATTGAAATCTACTCATAAAATAAATCTTTATATAAAAGTCTTATTTATACTGTAGAAAAGTTGAAATAGAAAGCGTGCTCATTGAGAATTAATTAGCACGAGAAACACAAAATATGTATGAATTAGCGAACCAAAGTAGGTCAAGAGGCAAACTGAGCTAATCCGAAATTGAAGTATCGTAATGTTTCGGACAAAAAATCGAAACGGATAAAAAACCAAAAAAAGGTGAAGAGCTTTCGAATTTGAAAATTGAAACAGACGGGCCATCCAATAGTTTCAGTCATATTTTGGGACCAAAAATCGCACCACGTTTACGTAGGCCATTGGTCGGCAGCCGACTGCATAGCTCCATTGCAACTTTTATCACTAATTTAACGCCACCAGAATTCTTCGAAACAGTTTCCGCTAAATTATTACCTCTTCCCAGAAGAATAAAAATACAGTGCTCGGCTGACACGACCATTCCCGTCTGTCTATGGTAATTGTTTGGTCCCCGTACTCCTCCACGTCATATATTTACTGCCACAAACTGGACCTCTGCACGTTACTCATATGTATTCAAATTCTACAGTAAAAGACCATTCCAAGATAATCTATTCCCATGGGAATCCTGGTGAAAAGGTCATTAGTAGACACTCGCCACGTCATCTTCTCGACTCCTCATTCTTATTCATATTCTAGTCTCCATACTCCTCTCGCATCGATTTGTCCCACTAAAAACTTGCTCTGCATTTCAGAAACAACATGCCTTTTCCTACGCTGTCCCAATTGGCTGCTAAGTCTATTGCTCAAGGAATTCATGATGGTAATTACTTTAATTAACCAGTGCCATATCATGTAATTTCTAATTTTCAGAGACTATATCGCTTGACTCCGTTTTGGACACAAAGTCCAGCAACGCAATTGTTCGAGAACTTTTGACATTGGATGGGAACAACTTCGAAAAGTTGAAAGTATTCAAAAATCAGTTGTCCATCACAGATGAAAGGTTGAATTTAATATCATTTTGTAGGTCTTGTTGAGCTCTACGTTTTATTTTTCTGTTGGAAACAAAAATTCTAAGTTTGAACCGAGTCATGCTCCGGCTCGGGAATGGATAAGAGAAATGGTTTTATAACAATCGCCTTTTGCAGACATGAACTCTCAATTTCACTGTTCTCTGCCGACATTCCTGACATGATTGAACTATTCTACAACGTCTTCAATAAGAATTCATTGATTTCATTTAAAAAAGAAACTGCTGAATTCGTATTCCGAATGCTTGAAGCTACCGTAAACGCTGTGCGTCCAGGAATATTGATTCCCGATAGAGTTTTGAGTTTTGTATTCGACAAGACTGTTGATTTGGTTCGCCAATTTCCGGAGCATCGATCTCAGGCAATTCGAATTATATTACAAGCTGAGAAATGGATGAGCTGGGAGCAAGTTCTAACAATTGGAATTTGAAGTTGCTTGGTTAGGCAGTTGCTCAATTTCAGCTGATTACTGATTATTTACACTCTGATTTTTCTGTTGCTCTGTTTTGTTTTGGTTACCGTTTGTTATAGTAAAGTCATTTTATAAGATAAATATCTGTAAAACTGAGTTTTGAAGATTAATCCATGGATTTTCGAAATCAAGGATATTTCATTTCTAAAAACTATGAACCCAAAACTTCCCGCGTTCCCTAAACTCCTCAACTTCTGAAACTTACTATTAGAAAAAGTTACTAAGACTTTTAAATTATCAAAAATTAGTATTTTCTAAAAAACTCTGAAGACAAGATTCGAAAAAAAAATTTTTTTTTGCTAATTTCTGAAAATCCCTAAAATCTGGAGAAGTGTTCTGGAGAGGGAAGAGCTATAATTTGCTTATTATTTCTTGAAAATCCCGCTTCTTTGTGCAAGATTCAAAATATCGCGACGACATTTACTTCAGTGAATGCTCCGAATAATTCAAAATTCAATTTTCTGGTTTTTGGAGTAATCCCGTTTTAATTTGAACAAAATCTCAAGATTTTTGTAGTTTTACTCAAACATTTTCTCCTTTGAGTGTCTCAGAAATATAGTAGATTTTGTTGGATAAAACCAAAAACTTGCAGATCTTCTAAACAAAAATAGAGCTTCAGTTTTGTAGTTAACAACTTTTTTGTAGTTTTTTTCGTTTATGAGACATGCGCCTTTAAAGATGGAAGCCGCTAAATGCAATGGAGAAGGAGAGGAGGGTACGGTATTTTTAAAGGAGCACAACTCAAAAACCAAAAAAGTTACAAAAAATTGTCGGCAACAGAGCGCGCATGAAAGCACACACAAAACAGCGTTCCAATTTGGGACAGTTCGACTCCTTACCAGTTCGAACTTGTAACAGTTCGATTCTGTCCGCGTTTTGTTCTGATACGTGTGCGAAAAAAGGACTATTCTGAATTGAATCTGTCGATTTTAGGTCTGTTCGGTTTTGAAAACGTTCGAATTCGTCGTACCCCCAAATTGTCAACTATGAAAATGAAGCTCTAGATTTTATTATCTGAATCTAAAAATCCATAAAAATTTAATTAACTTTTGGCGGGTACTGTATATCTCGAGATCCAATGATATCCGAAAAAAAAACCATAGATATATATTTCTAAAAAATGTTTTTTTTTTTTCAAAAAATCCCATTTTCCTACCTCCATCCCTTTCCCCAACCCATCTCACCGACCACCACTATCAGAAGTCAATTCATTATAAACCCGAATTACGTAAGCAGTTCATAGTTCTCCTCCTGTCAAAAAATGAGTGGCAAAGTATTATCAGTCCTTCTGAAATCAGCCCATCAATATAGTCGAGAAAATTTATAACTAGGATTTTCTTCTTTTTGGCTCCGGGACGGTAGAAAAAAAGTGGAGAATTTGGTTGATAAAAGTGTCAAAAATGGAATTTTTTGATGGAGGAATAGGAAAAAAAAAGTGGAGTGTATCAGAAATTAAAAGAGCCACACTTTCGAATCGTATAGCAGTGTTTGTTATCTCTCAGAACTTTTTGTCATTTTTAGAAAAAAAAGAGAAGGAAATTGAGAACAAAATGGTGTGATTTGTTTTTTCTTTTCTTTCGGAAACATAATTTAGTGTATCGGAAAATGAAGAATAGAGGATCGAGGTTTTTTTTCGAGTTTTTGAATAGTGTCAGAATTTGAAAATTCTAAAATTCTGAAGTTCTCAAAATTCGAAGTTCTTAAAATCTTATTATCTGAATTTTTTTAATGAATATACCGTATTTCCTCTAATAGAAGCCCACCCTCCGACGTGCTCAAAAACATAAAAGCGGAACCTCTAACAGAAATTCGTGCAGTTCAGTTAATGCAGTTCATACCGTGCAGTTCATCTATTCGGTTATGGAGGAAATACGGTATTCCGATAATCCATCATCATCTTTCGTTTGCGAAGAATATTATCTCAGTCTTCTAGGATCCCAATTTTCAAAGAACTTTCAAAATTTCAAAGATGTTTTGATTTTCTGAAAAAAAATTATTTTGAAAATATGTATATTTTGTATTTTCGGTGTTTTTTGGTTGTTGTAACTTCTTAAGAACAATTCCAAACGAATTTCAAATTACCAAATTTCAGAAATTTGGTTCTTCATGGCTGTTGCAGGAAAAAACCCCATCATTATATTTTTAGTACCAATTCCTTCGTACATGATTTCCGAATCCAAGTTGCGAAACATTCGCTATCTCTCTCGAAACATTGCTAAACCTCACCCAATAATTCTTCCGGCGATTAACGACTTTTTGAAAGAACCTTCTCTCATTCCTATCTCTTCAGTGCTCATCGACACGAATCATTATTGAATTGGGATCAGAGGAAGAAGCTTGAGAGAGAGAAAGTGGACACATGTTCTTTTAATGAGGTTGAGAGGGCTCGAAAGAGTTGTACACTTTTTTTTTCAATTCGAGAATCGGAATGAGATGGTGGGGGCATCGAAGAAGAAGAAGAAGAAGACGACCCCGGGAGAGAGGATAAAGAGAGAGAGTGACAAATGCTTTTTAGTTCTTTTTTCTGTGCTTGGACACAGCGGAAAGAGATATTTTGGGAGGAAGAAGATATGTACTTTTTCTGGAGACGCGGAGGTCTTTGGAGTTGTTCAAAGGGTCACCTGAGAGGATAGTAGTTTCTGGGGGATCAGGGTAGTACGATGTTCAGAGAAGATCAGTAAAAAAATTTGGGGTGAAAATATTTTGACAGGGTTATAAATTTGAACGTCGAGGATTTGGACCCGAATTTTAAAGAAATCTTGATTTTTTCAATTTACACTAATCTTATGGATTCTAATTTGTTAAATTTGTAGGATTGGTCGGAAATTTTCAGCAAGTATCAACTTGAAATTTCGCGCAAAACCGACTGCGGTCGGAAACAGAGCTGCCGACTTTGCACCGCGTAGCTCAACCGGAAGTAGCTCGAAACTCTTAATATTTTACTCACGGGTTCAACTCCACAGAGAGAATTTTTTAACGAAACAAATTTTTTGAAATATTTTTGTCTAACACAAAATCCAGTTATCAGAGAATATTGCGGTGCAATCAAAAGTTTCCATTTCGCTCTGATCGGCTAAAAAGATAATTAAAAGTTCCATTTTCAAACCCAACCATTCTTTCCTTTTCCATCTCTACTTGATTGTACTAATTACCCTTCAAAAAGGATACCATAAATTTTTTTTGGTTCAATCAATAAAAATCCTCTTTTCTCATAAATTCAAATGAGTAGTGAGTAACGAACTTTTGTACTTTTGAATAATGCAATTTTCGTAAATGAGAGTACAGAATTCCAAAAAAAAATTCGATTTTCAAAATTCAACTTTTTCAGACTTTAATTTTCAAGTTAAACCGTTTAACCAGACTTTTAGACATTCCTCGATTTTCAGAAAGACTTTCCCATTTCAAGTGTTTCTGCCAGAATTTCAGATTGCCCCAGAAATGTGCTCCACCTTTCCTCACCCCAAGAAAGAAAGGTTAACATCAAAAAAGGAGAAAAATGATTTATTTGTACAAGTACTCTGGTGTTATCAACCCCTCTTCTTCTCTTTTTCCTAAGATTAATGACTTTTCTCCATAAAGGACTGCTGAATAGTATTAAAGACGACAGTAAATCGCTTTTCTTTTTATGATGCCGCCGCTCCAGTCCATGGGAGCACATACTGATAAGAGCCGCCCGAGAGAGAACATCAAAAGAGACGCCGTCCCCCGTCCGTCATTCTGCCGCCGGAGGAGCCAGGAAATTTAGAGAGTATGCGAAAACGAGAGAGCGGGTGATAGAAAAAGGAACCTCGAGGCGGGCGCCATGATCTTACCCCTCCCACCGTAACGAGAGACTCCGCCCACTATTTTTGGGAGGAGTTTTTTGATTCTGCCCCACCATCATCACTTCATTTGAGTTTCACCGGAGTCCAAATGAGTTCCACTAAATTTTTTCGGCCTTGGGAGACCCCTTATATTTATCCACCTATATCCATCTCTCCTCCGGATTCTCCAGCATCAACATCTGCGAGCTCTAGCAGCTCAGTTACTGGAAACCATATACTGGCGAATTATCCAGATATGGGACCGATTCTAATGCTGAGCAATGGATTCTTGGAGGTCGCCAACAACACGCAGAGACGCAAGTGTCAAAGATGTACTTGTCCGAATTGTAAGGCAATGTGAGTTTTGGGATTTGTGTTTTAAATGTGGGTTTATTGGATGGTCTGCTCGGATGGACCTAAAATAGCAGGATCCTCACAACTTTAACCCTATTGGTTTTCAAGAAAAAGCAAAAAAAATCCTCATAATAATGCGCATTTTCAAATTCGATCTATCGTAAAACCTGTAATCGAATGTCCGCACACAGTCAAGTTTGAGTCAATTTATCTCGGTTCCTGTGGGAGATATCAAAAATGTGTCAACTGACAAAATGTTGCTGATATTATGATAAACGACTTATCAGTTTACAACTTTTCAATATCTTTGACAGAAACCGAGAGAAATTCTGTCAAAGATGAAAGGACTTTCCCTCAGAAAGAATTTTGGAATTGGATTAAAACACGTCCAGAATTTGGCTTTGAGGAATTCCTTCAAATGTTTGAATTAATATTTGGAAACTTTGGAATTCTTGAATTCTGAAAATCTGGTTTTCCAAAAATTTGAAATTATTTGTTATCAGTAACTAGGATTCTGAATTATCTGTGAACCGAATTTTTTTTGGAAAGTTCAAATTTTCAAATTTTTTTTATTTTGCAAGTTTCGTAATTTTGAAATTTTGATCTTCAAATTTAGGAAGCTCCAAAATTTGAAATTTTTAAAATATCTGGATTACTGTAATTTCAAAAAATCCAGCATATATGTGACTCCGAAATTCAGAAAGTCACAAATTCCGAAGTTACAAAATTAGGAAAATCTGCAATTCTGAAATTCCGGAATTCTGAGATTTTGAAATTCTGAAATTAGACTTTTCGAAATCTTCAAAATTCCAAAATCTTATCTTTAAAAAATCAAGAATTGAAAAAAAAATTCTGCTCCTCCACAAAACCCCCAGATTCGTTTTATGGGTTTTTCGGGGAAGACAAAAAAAAGTGGGGTTTATTGGAAAATTCCGTATGTGTGGTGGTGGGATTTAGAGATGTGTCTCGTCTCTCGAAATGAGTTCTGTTTCTTCTAGAAAAAAAAAGAGAGAAAGGCCTAGTTGAATGGGGCTATTAAATAGGAATAGAGAATGATATTTAGACCCCAGAAAAGGAGGGAAAGAGCAAAATTGAATTCGAAAAAAGGGGAAAATGGGAAGAAAGGGTGATTACGGTAGGGATTGGTTATTAAGAATTGACATCACCTGAATTTTTAAAAACTTTTTTGAATTTCCGAAATTCCTGAATTCCTGAATTTCAGAAGTATAAATTCTTGATTTGTTTAAAAGAGAATGTTTGGGAATTTTCAAGACTTTGGAAAATTTCAGTCCCAATGAGGGCTTTTCATAATTTTAGAGTCTCAGAATTTGTTTCTGAATTTCTTATTTTCTGAAATTCCAATAAATCAGATCAATCAGACAAAATTTTAAAAAACTTATGGTTTCAGAAATAAAACATACTTATAAAAAGTAAAACTAAACACCGAAAAATGTCTCTTTTTTGACTTTCGGCGATTTTTTAAGAATTTCCGTTTTTCAGAACATCATCAGGCTTTTGAAGTTTGAGAAGTTCCCAGAAAATTGAAATTTTAAAGATTATGAAAAATTGAAATTCATTAAAAATCAAAAGATGATGGATTATGATCTTCGAATTTCGGAGTCTTATAAGAAGGTTCTGCATTTTGTTAATTATGTTCTGGAATTTCCAGAAAAATTGAATTATTCGGAACTACTTTTTAAGGACTCCAAACTTAACTATCTTCAGCGAGAAATGCCCTTTTTCCACTCCTCCTTTCCGGCACCTTAACTATTACGCACACCTTTCCTCCTTTATTCATAACTTTCTCCACCACTTAGTGACTCATGATTACTACCCTCCACCTTCGACCTTTATCTGTCTTTAGTCCCCCTTCTTAAATGTTATACGGTCCCTTTGAAGATAAAGAGAGAAGGAGAGGTGCATAAATTAGTGTGTGTATCAATATTTACTTTCTTTTTTTCATTCAACAGTCTATTTTTTGCAGAAAACATGGTGATCGTGGAGCTCAACACACTCATATGTGCAGTGTACCTGGATGCGGGAAGACTTATAAGAAGACGAGTCATTTGAGAGCACATTTGAGGTGAGACATCTGGATAAAAAGTGGGACAGATTTCGAGATTCTGGAATTGGAATTTCAGAAATTTCAGATTCTTACATTCTGGGGTTCTTAGATTTCTGGGGGTTCTAAGATTTTCAAAAATTGTAAAGAAACTGAAATTCTGAGGTTCTGAACGATTTTGAAATGTTGAAAGTTTTAGCTTCTGAAATTGATAAATCCGCGAATATTTGAAATTGTGGATGTTTCAAATTCTAAGATTCTAAGGTTCTGAGATTCTGAGATTCTGAGATTATGAGATTCTGGGATTCTGAGATTCTGAGATTCTAAGATTCTGAAATTCTGAAATTCCAAAATTTTGAACCTCTGAAATTCTGAAAATCTGAATGAGCATCCGCATTTCTAAGAGTCTCAAATTCTAAGATTCTAAGATTCTAAGATTCTAAGACTCTCAAATTCTAAGATTCTAAGATTCTAAGATTCTAAGATTCTAAGATTCTAAGATTCTAAGATTCTAAGATTCTAAGATTCTAAGATTCTAAGATTCTAAGATTCTAAGATTCTAAGATTCGAAGATTCTAAGATTCTAAGATTCTAAGATTCTGAGATTCTAAGATTCTAAGATTCTAGGATTCTAAGATTCTAAGATTCTAAGCCATCAGGACATCCGGACGAACAGACATCTCAATTTTTCAGAAAACACACCGGAGACCGTCCATTCGTTTGTGATTGGTTTGAATGTGGAAAACGATTCGATCGAAGTGATCAACTGATTAGACACAAAAGGACGCACACCAAGGAGTATAGGTGAGCACTTGTTTCAAAATTTGGGATTTTGTGATTTATCGAATTTGCTAGTTTCGAAACTCGAATCAGATGATTTTTGGACGCAAAAGTGGGCGGAGCCTATTCGAAAGTTCTCAAGGTTTAACTTGCAAAGTTGTACCGTAGTCCCTAATTTCAAATTGTTTTAATTTAAAATTTAATTTTTCCAGATTTTCGTGCAATTTGTGTATCCGCCAATTCTCGAGATCCGACCACCTCCAACAACATTTGACATCTGTTCATAATATTATTGTAGTTGACTAATTTATTTCGTTTTCGTGTCATTTTTAACAATGTTTTTTAAACATTTCCACCCCACCAAAACTTTCTTGTCGTTTTTTAAATTCGAGTACATTTTCTGCCCAATACTTTGTTTTTTTAAGAACAGAACCGTTGATTTTTGATTGTAATGATTGTTTAAATGAACTTGATTTTGTGTTATTTTTTTCTATTTTGTGAAATTCAGAATTTCAGAGTTTCATAAGTTAATTTCAGAATATTGGGACCTAGAAATCCAAAAAACAGGGGGAAAACAGAGACCGTACAAATCGGAAAGATTTTAAATCCGAAAGAAACGAAACCGTAAGAAACGAAACGGAAAGAAACGAAACGGAAAGAACGCTAAACCGTGCACAGTTTTGCTAAAATTGCGTGCG